CCCGGCCCCTCGCCCTGCCCCCAGAGTTCTCCCGGCAGCTCCCGTCCCGTCTCCCCCCAAAGGAGAAGCGCACAAGCAGATCAGAGCAGACATGCAACAGCCAGGCAGAGGGGTCCACGGCCACACCGCCTGGGGGCCGCTGGCTCCGTCCCCATCCCCCGCTCGGCCCAGACCAGACCAGATGGGCACAGGCCACATCGTTCCTCTGAGAAGCAGCAGGCGGGCGGCCCCCCGCAGATGGGGTGGGCCCCTCGCAGACATGCAGCGAGGCCAGGCCATCACACACAGAACGCAGACGGGCACATGCAGACGGAATCTCGAGACTCATTCATAGCTCCGTGGGAAGTGTATCTCAGGGCAAGTCTGGATCTTGGCTGTGTGATGGTGGGGGAGGGCTGAGGAGCGTTCCCGCGGCCCAGGGAAGAGAAGACTCCCCGTGTCCCAGGCAGGGGCGCTGGGCCCTTGCTTGTGATGTGGGAGAGAATGCTGGGCTGGCGTGCACCGGCCCAGGCTGAGGTGGCACGGAGGTGGGGGTCGAGGGTGGGTTTGGGGTTCACGTGGGGCTTCAGACACGTGTCAGCAGGAAACACAGAGCTGGACGAGGGGGAAGGGGTGACAAACCCAGAGTAGACACAAGAAATGGGTGGGGGCCGAGTGGGGAGGAAGGCGGCAGATGGAGAGGCACACAGACGGGCCGCGGGGCACAGCTGTGCAGGCTGCGCCCCGCACGGGGTCCCTGCCTCAGAAACCGTGGATTCGTGCATTTAGATGACAGCTTCCCAGCTGCCAGCAGAAAGGGGTCTGGCTCTCACCACCTCTCTGGGTTACAATTTCCCAGCAGACAGTGTTCGGTGGAAAGGGTGCTCTTTTCAATTTTGCACAGAGGTGTCCTAGGACCCACGGGGGCTGCACAGAGGCCAGAGGGAAGGCTCTCCCTCCCTCTCTCTTGCGAGGACACGTGTGTGAGTGCACACACACACACACACACACACATTTAGACACGCAGAGACCAAGAGAAAGGACGAGAGGACGACTACAGAGAGGGGCACAGGTGCAGGGGTCTTTGAGATGCGGGTGGGGAGCCTCTTCCAGGCCGTGGCTGGGAAGGAGGGGTACGTAGAGGGGGGAGGAGGAAGGAGGCTGTGGAGAGGCAGCCACAGGAGGCAGGAGGGAATGTGTTGGCAGAATGGGAGGGAGGACTCTGGCAGACACAGGGCGGACCAAGGGGGGTGGGAGAATGGGATGATGGGTACTCATATTTTTGGGGGGACTTTAAAGGTCCTCCCTGAACTTTTGGTGGATGAGCTGGAGGAAACAGATCATCGGTCCTTGGGTGCCAAGGTGGATTCTGGGACGGGGTCCTGGAGGGTGGCTGCCCCAGCCGCCTGGCGGCAGGACCCTCGCTCCTTCAGCCAGCATGCACCACCCCCACCCCAGCCCCCTCGGCCAAGGTGCCTGCCCGCCCCAGGCTCCCGCCAAGGCAGCGTGCATGGCCTGCGTCAGGGTGCCACGGTCCAGGGGTCCGGCTGCGGCCTGCCTGCCCACTCTGGAACAATGGAGAGGCATGTTGGGTGGTCTTGGGGGGCAGCAGGTGGCATAGGGACAGGAGCTGGGGAAACAACTCCAGGGGCGGGGGGAGGAGCAGGGAGGAGAGGCTGTGGGTGTTCCTCGGGAGGTCTTGTATCCCCCAAGGCCCTAGGTCAGAGATCAGCTTCAGGTGTGTGTGGGGGCGGGGGCACTGCGGGACCTGGGATTCAAGATATAAAAGTTGGGGCCAGGGTCATGCCTTTTTGGGGGCCAAAGACCCCTGCCAAAAGGTACCTGCCCGGGCCTGGGAGTGGGGGCCGCTCGGGGTGGGCAGAAAGGAGGCACGGTGGGGATCCCCCCTGAAGTGTGTTTGTGTCCAATTTGGTTCCCAGGAGACCAAATACAAGGGGACTGGGGGCTCCCCCCTCCCCCCCGCCTGTCGGCCATAATGGAGTCTCAAAACACCAAAACACACGCATCAGGACGGACACGGTGTGCTCCTGAGATCAGGGGATGGTCATGGCCCAGTTACTCGAGGAGGAAAGGAAAGAAAAAAGAAAAAAAAGAAAGAAAGAAGAGGAACGCTGGAAAAAGAGACTCGGCCGGTGTTCCTGGCCAGCACGGAAAAGTCCCCGGCGCCCGGACGGCGGTGGTCAGCAAAGGGTAATCTACCTTGTAAGCCACTCTGGGCCGGACACTTCTTCCCCAGACCCAGGGGCGGAGACATTGTGTCTCAGCATC